GCCTTGGAGGGCGACCAGCACTATGTGTGCCTTGAAGTATCTCTGGAAGAGAAGGCAGAGCCGACAGTAATCTCCCTGCTTTGTCCTTTGACTTTGGTGTGGCCCACTTGGCCAAGCATGTGCTATTTTTAGCAGGTGGCATCCTTTAGGACAGCCAAGTGCATGTGGCTACAGTGTCCAGTACTGGACTCGCCTCTTGCTGTCACCGCTGCCTCTGCCTAATCAGGAAAGGGAAGAGAATAAAGCTACCCTACACACTGCCCTGGGCTGTGTGGACAGGTTAGCTTCTCTAGAGGTCGCTGGGGCTGATTTTTCTATTCTGGCTCAAGGGCAGGGCCCCGCCCCGCCCATCTCCTGAGTCAGACAGGCCTGTGACTGAGGCCGTTCAGTGAGCTGGGAACCAGTGGTCAGGACTGCTGCCTAGGGAATGAGGATCCCCTGTTGCTCCAGCAGCTGATTTCTCAGGAAACCACATAACCCTATTTTCACGTGAAGTTGCCCAACCTAAGGGCCAGCCACTCAGTGGACACAAAAGACTCAAAGTATGGATCAGCTAGCAGCCTGATTGCGGGTGTCCTCTGGCTTAAACCAATATGCAAACAGCAGGCTGCAAAGCCTTGGCCTCCAGTAGGAGTTCTTTGCTGGGAGATGAGGGAGGCAGAAGAGGGATGAAAAAGGAGTTTGACAAACAAGTCTGTATGCTATCCATTCTTTCTCTCTCTTTCTGTCTCTCTCATGCAGCTGCTAACTCTAGCCCATCTATCTGTTTCTGATTAAGAAAGCTTCGAGCCATATAAGGCCCTCTGTTGCCTATGGTTTATGTTGGCTGGAGAGCAAGGTTGTTTTTTGCAGAGTCTGATTCAAAGAAGTGGCAAGGGCTTACGTGAGACTGTGTACCCGCCTCCAGGGCCGGACCGCCTTGCTGGAACAGATTCTGGTGCACGGTGGAGACTGAGGGTACATGTCCAGAACTTGGCTCTTCAAGCTGATGTGTACTGTGGGCAGGGCTTCCTGGCAAATGAGTTTGCTGAGAACTGCAAGTAAAAAAGTAAGGCCCTTCTTTATTCTGGAGTACCTCATGCTCTCAAACGGGCATCTTCTTTCTGGGATGGAATCTGGAAGCAACTTCTGTTTCTGAGCTAAGAACAAAAAAGCCCCTGCTCTTTCCCTCTAGGAGAAGGTCTGTGAGCTGAGTTTTTCAGGGCCTTGCAAGTCCACATCTACCTTCTGGCCATTGTGCTTGGGAGCCATTTTTTGGGCAGTAGTGCTCTGACCCTGTCTTGGCCTCCTGTTCTTGCTGTCTCTTGAGTCAGCCAAGATTGTTCTGCCTTGGAGCGTGGGCACATATTCTCCCTGCCTGAAGCTTTCTCCCCTTCTGCCCCGATCCTGGCACAGCTCTCACTATTCCCACTTGGTGCCGCTTCTGAGAGGCATCCCCTCAGCGTTCAGCTAGAGCTTTCCCTTCACAACACCCCCTGCCTTTCATCCGAACCATGGAAAAGATAGGAGAGACTGTTTCTCAACCTTCCCGCTACCGTCCTACATGCGCAGGACTGTAGTTAATTTGTTGTGTGCAAGGGATATCTTCAGACTTGGGGCTCGCTCACTGTCAGCACCCTGGTCTGTTATATTAAGTTGCTGAATCTACCTTGCAGTATCATATTCTCTAAAGTTTGAGTCCCTGCCTCCACCTTTGCTTCCTGAGCGTTCTTTCCCTGCATTGCCTGTGGAACCTGTTCACAGGGAGTATTTAAATCTTTATTAAATGGCTGGCTCTGGGGGATCCTGCTCCATGATGCTGGCTGATCCTCAGTGGGGTGGGGAGACCACTGCCTTGATTCTGGAAGGGTCTGTTAGGAAGCATGTTCTTTTCTTGATTTTTACCCTTTTGCCAGCAGGGCATTTCAGGGGTATCTGAAGCAAAATTGACATCAACTATTGTGGGAAAAGAAAACATTAAAATTTTGTGTTTAGATGAATTGGCACTAATGGATATTTATTATGGGTAACAGGAAACACAAAGCTGTATGGTAACGTCGTGCATTGTTACTTGTATATCGCTTAAGAATGAACTTTGTATTAGTGTTCCTTGCAGAAAGAGTTGACTGTGTGTGTGTGTGTGTGTGTGTGTGTGTGTGTTTACCTGGGATTGAACTCAGGACCTGTGCTTGCAAGGCAGGCACAGCACCACTGAGCTAGGTCCTTGGCCCTTTTTAAAAATTTTGTATTTTGAAACAAGGTCTCACTGAGTCACTCTTGATCCTCTGTGTCGCCCTCTCACCACCACACCCAGTATGTTTGACTTTGACTGTGTACAGGATTTGAAAGGATGGTCGTTTGCTGGAGGTGTAGCTCAGAGGTGGAGTACCCGCCTAGCCTTGCAAGGCCCTGGGTTTGTCCCGTGTGTACCTGCCCCCTTCTGTTTGCTTCCATGGCAGCTACTTTTAATACTTTCATCTTTCTGCCATTTACCACGGGTTTTTGTTGTTGTTATTTTTTATTTGTTTTGTTTTGTCTTTTTTGGTACTGGGAATCCATCTCCGGATCCTGCGTTTGTGAGGCAGGTAGTGGAACCACTGAGCCAAATCCCCAGCATTACCATTGTTTTTTAATAGCATACCTTTTTCTTTCGTTTTTTGGTACGGAGAATGAACTCGGGACCTTGCACTTGTGAGGTAGGTAGTGGCACCACTGAACTAAATCCTCAGCTCGAGCATACCTTTTCTTTTTAAAAAATTCTTTTAAATTTTTAGTTTTCATTTATTTATTTTGGTTTTTTAAAGACAGGGTCTCACTGTGTATTCCAGGCTAGCCTTGAACTCACTGTGTGGCCCAGACTGGCCTTGAACTCTTTCTACGTCAGCCTTACCCAGTGCTGGTATCATAGGCATGTGCCACCATGTAGCTTTCTTTTAAAAAGACATTATCTGGTTCTTCCCTTTTTTTTCCTACTGTGAGAGATAAGGACTTAGCTCATTCCTATACTTCCTTCATCCTCCTAAGATGAGGTCAAGTTGAAGTTCAGGGTATACATTATTACAATGTAGACATTGTTTAGGCTGCAGAGAATTCTTGGTTTCCGATTCTTTTCTCATCTCCTAGTTAACACCCTAGTCCGTTGGTTGGTCTCCCTCCCTCCCTCACCCCTCTCCCTATCCCTCCTTTCTCTCTCTTTTCTTTTTCTTCTTTCCTTCCTTTCCTTTCCTTTCTTTTCTTTCCGTTTCTCTTCCTCTTTCTCTTTCTTCCTCCCTTTCTTCTTTCCTCTGTGTCTCTCTTCTTTCTTTCTTGCCTTTCTTCAAGGTCTCGCTATGTAGTCCAGGCTGGCCCTGAACTCAGTATGTATCCCAGGCTGGCCCTGAACTCATTGCAAACCTGCTACTTCAGCGCCCCTAGTGCTGGGATTATAGGTGTGTGCCACCAAGCCTGGCGTCTCTCTTGCTTACTTTTCTGTGTCTCACAAGTTCTCCCGATTCCCCTGAGCCCTGGCTGTTGCTTAGAACCCATGCCATTGGTGCAAAGGTCCTCTTACTGTGTTTAAATGAACCAGGTGCTCTTAACAGTTGCATACTGTTTGGGGGAGGCAGGAACCTGGCTCTACTTCGCCTTCCTCCTGTGAATTTCCTCCCCTTGTGTTCCTATTTGGATCCAGTGCCTTTCTCCTTTCTTGGTTTACTCTGTTTTGGTGGAGCACATCCTCCAGTCGTTTTCTAAGAAAGTGCGCGTGCATGCGTGGTGGCCAACAAGAGGCAAGCTGATGTGTACAGAAGGGCAGGCCACCTTTGAAGGCATTCATGGCTTGGGTTGGGCGGGTGACTAAACATAGGGGATTAGTGGAAAGTAGGAAAATACAACTAGGTTGGTAGATCCCTTCCACCAGCAAAAGAGTTGGCTTTCTTTCTGGAGGCTATAAACAAACAAGAGGGGACCTGGAGGTGGTGAAAATTGGTATTGAATTAAAGTCTGTACATTGAACGAGGCAGCCCAGCCCTTCTCTGTTCTCCTGATGATGACATGCAGGCTAAGGTCCCTTCCCCTCCACCCCCAGCCAGGGACATTAGAACCTCCTCGTCTCAGGAAACTGGCACCCTATTTCCTAGTTGGTTCCTGTGCCAGCTGGACACTTTACCTGTCTCTTAGACCAAATTTTTATCTGGTCAGATGCTGCCATAACAAGTTCACTGGATATGAGGTCATTGTTTTTGTCCCTAAAGAAACAGAAGGATTGAGAGTGTTCTAAGGATAATAGTGACTTGTCTTTTAATTTCTTTTTCTTTCTTTTTAAATCAGGGATCAAACTCGAGTCCTTGTACCAAGCGGCAGAGCCACTGGGGCTAAATCTCTAGCCCTTTGTCTTAATTTTAATTTCTGTTCCATTGAATTGGTGCCCTATGGGTACTGATAAATATTTGTTGAATAGAAATTGCTCTAGTATACCTTTATGTGGTTGCTGAATTGGTCATAAGTCTGCTGTTTGGGAAATTGGGGTCTTCCTCTGCCCACTGGAGGTGGTGTCTTGAAGGGTGTTTTGCTGTCCATTGATTTCTTTTGCAGGCACATGTTTTCTGTAGGGGCTTTTAAATTCTCTTGCTGTCAGATCTCTGCTCGGCACTTTCAGGCACTGTGTGGCATGTTCTGTGGTCATGGGTAGGAACTTCATAAACCCAGGTGTACCTTTCTGCACCTGCTTTGTAACAGTCTTCAGGAGCCTGGCGGAATTCACTTTTATAAAGCCAGGTGGTCACTAGAAGCCCAATTTAAGGAGCAGGGTGGGCTGGACACAGTCTTCATAGCCCCTGGTGAGCAGTTGGGAAGGACTTGGTAAGAGCAGTAGGTGACCCTCACCCCATCACTCAAAAAAGGAGCGAGGCTGGACCTGCCTGGGTTGGTCAGCATAGGAGAAAAGCTGACGCCCCACCCTTGTGTGGCTCCCTTTGTTACCACATTTTCCAAGCCAGGAATTAGTTTAACTTCTGATTGGACTGGAGCCGGAAGAGACTGTCAGGCAGAGAGGGAATTTTGACTTTCAGCTCTTACCTGAATCTCTTGGCTTTGGATTCTGGGATGCTGTTTTGGCCAGAGAAGACTTTGCTGGGCAGGTGTTGGTTAAGCCTTGGCCCTCCTGTGAGCAGCCTGGGAACGCGTTCCATGACCGTCCTGACTGCTGGTGTACCGGCAGCTGCCCCAGAGCATGTGGGCCCAGCTTTCCTGCTGTCTGTGGCACCATCACAATGGAGGGTGTGGGGACAACCCTGGACAGGGCCTCACAGCCCCTCTGTGAGCTAATGGAATGGTGCGGGTGCCCTCATGAATGAGCTTACGCAGGCCCCCGAGATGGCAAGGAACACCGGGGCTGGGCCAAGACCAGTCCCCGAGAAGCATGGCTCCAGCATTCTGACCCTGGGTCCCAGCCATGTTGCTTCGTGAGAGCGACCCAGGCTCACCATCGCCGCCCCCATCAGAGGCAGGACCACACCCTGCCAGCAAGGTAGGTGCTGGCCTCGCAGCCACTGGCTGGCCCTCATGTTTCTCGGGGGGTCTTCTGGGAACATCCCATAGAACCGTACTGTTTGGTAGGCAGCCACCAGCGGCTGTTTAAATTAACTTTCAGTAAAATTTGAAATTCAGTGCCCCAGTCACACTTGTCACATCTCAAGTGCTCAGTAACCCCCTGTGACTAAGCGGCTGCCAATCTTGGATAGCATTCGCCACATGGGGATCGCCTGCCTGTTGCCTCTGGTGACCTGCTCTATTTTGACCATGTTGCAACTGTTCTCATCACCTTGACCATAAAGGTCATGCTGCCTTTCTGGCCCCGCTACCTGCTCATTAGCTTCTCTTCCTAGGACTTGTTCCAGCTCTGCCCCTAACTTACTACACCTCCAACCCCCAAAGGCACTGGAACCTTCATTTGTGTCCCTATCTTTCCCCACTCGTGGCTACCTGAGGAAATTCTAGACCTCTGAGGGGGCTTCCTGAGCTCCCATTGCCTACTCCTTGGCTTGGCTGCTTGTGGGGCAGGGGGTCTGTGAGGATGAGTGAGTGAGGGATGGAGAGTGCGTCTGGATTGTGAGCTTCTGGTGACAGCTTCTCACAGCACCTAATATAGGTTTGAGTGTGAGCGAGATGAGCAATGTGACCTGATGAGGAACTAGAAAACCTTTGTGATACAAACCATGAGGTACGCTTGCAGTCTGCTGGAGAGCTCTTGAGTGTGTGATCGGCCTGAGCTCCCACCAAGTGGAGGGTGGCTTGGCCTCACCTGCACCATCTCAGCGCTGGGGCCTCGGGGCGTGGCTGTCAGTCTGATTCCCTGCCAGGTAAGACCGAGCTCAGGGGAAGAGCCCTCACCAAGAGCTCGCTGTGTTGCCCTCTTGGGGGTAGATTGTCTTGGCCAGGCAGTGTTGGCTATTAGGATGTGGGTATATGGAAGAAACGTTGAGATTTCCAGTTGAGAGGAGGTACGCAGTTCTTTCAGAACACTTAGTAGATGTGGCTCCGCTGAGCAGGCCCAAGCCCGGAGTGACTTGGGCACTTGGCTCCTAAGCTGTTGTTTTTGTGATTAACTTTCCCTTCAATTATATGTGGCTTTTTTTCACAGTAACTGCGGCCAAATTGGCTTAGTCACTGGGACCAACACTTTTTCTGTGCCATTCTGAGGAATTTGTTTTCTTGTTTAGCAGAAAGCTCTAGACTGCAACGACTGGTCCTTAAGTCAGGTGGAGAGTGAGGCCACAGCTTCTCTAGGAACTGTTCTGAGAAGCTGCAGCTACTTTTCAGGAGAAAGGAGGGATCTTTTCAGAGCCTGGAGCGAGCAGATGAATGCAAGGGCCTTGTGGCTAACACACGTGCCTGCCTTCAGTTCTGTGTGACTGCTTGGCAGTGAGCCAGCGTGCATCTATTCCCGGGCAAATGGACCTGCTAAAAATAAGCAGAGAGCGATTTAATTCCAACAGATTCAAAATAGCCGAGTGTGCACCCCCCCAGCCCGAGGGCAGGGCTCGCAGCTTCCCTGTGGGCAGCTTTCCTCTGACTGCAGCTGGCCTGCCTCCCAGTCCTGGGGAGAGGACAGCCATGGAGGTGGCCTCCATTTAGCTGTGGGAGAATACTCCAGGTTATGGTGTTCAGTTCACCTAAAAACAATGGCTGGACAAAGAGTCGTAAGAGTCTGCCGGAGAAGGAAGGAAAGGAGGTGCAGAAAACTTTGTGAGGCTGAAGGGGTGCATGTGTACAGCCTGTCTGAGCCTTTGGGGAAGGTGGTTACGTTCTGTGCCACCTCCTTCCTGGTGGTCTGGCAGGCAGTGTGAATTGATGAAAACAGTGCCTTAGCCATCCCAAGATGTCCTCTTGATTGGTATGACTGTCGCAGGCGTTAGGGACTGAGGAGCTAGCTGTTTTTCTTGGCTGGTGGGAACTAGGGGTGGTGAAGGGCATAAGTTGCCTGTGGGAGCCCCTCTAAGGGCCTTCTGGCAGTGGCAAGCTTTGCAATACCCAGCTAGGCTGGTGAGTTGCAGCCAAGGCCTTTGGGTGTGTGGCTGCTGATCCCAGGACCTCCAGTGTTGGTGGAGAAAGGCTATCTAATCTTAATCCTCAGGTAGCAAGTTAAAGATAAATCGGGGCCTCCTCTTGGGCAGTTCCTGCACTTGAAAGTAGTCCCAGGGAAAGGGCTGTGTGTGCTGAGCCACTCACCTCACAGAAGCGGGCTCCTAGTTCCTTGTTCCTTGGCAGCATGTCTGGTCTCCGGCTGTAGCCTGGAGTGGGAGGGGAGGGTGGGGAGAGTGGTCACGAGGAGTCCTCCTGGTGGATTATTCTGGATTCTGTGGGTTGGGGGGTCTGAGATTAGGAGTGTTCAGCCCTGCTGGGAGGCCCTCCTGGCAGAACAACAGGGCACTGTTTCCTGGGTTGAACTCAGCTGAGTAGCTTCTTAGGAGTAGAGGTGCAGAAGTTGGGGAGCAAGCTTGGCTGGGAGGCTTGGATAGTTGATTGTAGTTATGGCCGTTTTATGCTACAGAGCAGCAGCAGGGCGCATGTTGTGGCCCCTGGCTGCTGATTCTGGGCACTCTGCTGGGCAAGGACAGGAAGAGAGCAGATGAAGTAGAAGGATACAGAGTCATAGTAGGCTGAGGGCTGGGTTGTGGTATGGATCACCAAGGGTGTACAACTAAAGCCAGACTAGCGTGCATGTTTGAGCCCTTCCTTTTTGTAGCGTAGCCCGCTTCTGGGTTTGGGGAGACTGGGCAGGATGACTTAGCAACTGCTGGAGAGGCAGGGCTCTTGGGATCAACTTTTGGTTCTGAAGGTCAGGGCTTCTACTGATTTGGGAGATGATTGCTATCTTGTGTGTCCTGTCTTCACTGATGACTCCTTCCTGGAATACACCTGATTTCAGTCTGTGGCCTTGGGGCCTTGGTGTGGCCTTTTCTGGGAGTGGTTGTTAGGGTTTCTTTTGCAGCTGTTTACTCCATTCAACTTGATCTTTTTTCCTGAATCAGAGAATTGATAAAATATTGTGGGAATCACAGTAGGTCTTACTGAAAAGGAATTGCCTAGTTAATAAGGAATCAATCTAGGGTGGTTTTTGTTTTGTTTTGTTTTGTTTTTTGTTGTTGTTTTTTACTTTTTGGTATGTTTTGTTTTGGGACAGGGTCTTGCTATGTACTTCTAGCTGGCCTTAAAGTGAAAGCAATCCTCCTGCCTCAGCCCCTCAGCCGCTGGGATTAAAGGAGTGTGCTACTCACTATCCCTGGCCAGCAATTGAACTTACTGACCCCATGAGAATATGGGTCCAGAGCCTGGCTGTACTTGTGTTCACTCCTGCCCCGTTGGGGAGGACTTGCTCTCCTGACTACAGACTGTAGTTGCATACCATTGCCCTCATTCCCTTCTCAGATCGTCTTTACTTTTTATATGGATAGGTTGAGCATAAAACATACACGAATTAAATCTCCTGTCATCTACATCTTGGAGTATGTGAGGGATGTTGCAGAACAGTGATTCTCAAACGTGACTGCAAGTTGGAATCACCTGGGTTTAAAGAAAAAAAAAAAGCATGGTGTTGATTTTCACCCTTAGAGATTCTGATTTAATTGGTCTTCCTGTGCCTTGGCGGAAAGCTTTTAAATGCTTTCCCAGTGTGATGCTAATGTGGATTCTGATTGGAGAGACACTGTTACAGAAATATTTTTCTGTTTGTGGCCATAGATAAGAAATCCCAAGGAATCTACTAAAAACTTAATAGATCTAATAAATGAATTAATCAAGGTTGTAGAATACAGAGTTGATGTACAAAAGCTTCCTCTCCCTCTCCAAACTTCATGCCTTGGAGTATGTGTCTGCCAGGTTTTCCATGATTCTTTGGGCATAAACATCACATATATCTTTGTCTGTAGCTTGCTTTCTGTGTACAATGCTTTTTCCATGTCCATACCTAAGACCAGCTTCTTTAACATTGGTGCTAGTATATCCATGGGTTTCACTCTATGTTTAGCGGTGATTCCCCCTGAAAGGTAAATTCCAGGTTTTTGTTTCAAATAATAACTAAGTGGGTGTTCTTACATAGACCTCTGCCTAGATAGAGCTGTGATTTTTGTTTTTCAAGATTACAGGTATAGGATTTGTGGGTCATAGTGTATGCTCATAATGTTTTAAGAGCAGTTGCTAGAGCTGGGTGTGTAGCTCAGTGATGCCACGCCTGCCTGACAAGTGCAAGGTCCTGAGTTCAATCGCCAGTACTCCCCCACAAAAAGCAATTACTAAAGCTCTCTAAAAAGTAGTATGATCTTCCTCTTGGCCCATGTAGTGCCTTCTGCCATGGGTGTACTTTCTAGTGGGTTCCATGTTTAATGTGGAATAGAAGCTGGTTTCCCATTCCTTGTCCGATGACCTTGGACCCCCTAGCCCCCAGGTTTGCAACCCGGGCCTTTGCACTGAGCTACATCCCAGCCCTATTTGTTTTTTGCAGTACTGGGGATCGAACTCAGGACCTTGTGTTTGTGAGGCAGGTACAGTGCCACTGAGCTAAATCCTTGGCCCTTGGCCCTTTCTTATTTTTACTTTTTTATTTTTAGACAAGGTCTCACAAAGTTGCTAAGTTCCCCAGGTTAGGCTCAGACTTGAGGTCTTTCTGCCTAAGCCTCCCCAGAATGCTGGGACTACAGGTATGCATCACAGCACCCAGCTTGATCACAAGTTATTTTAACATTTTAGGTAGGAATACATTCCAAGCCACGCGTGGAGGGTTAAGTCATACGGGGGATAGCATGTCACAAAGTTGCGTGTTTGCATCTGAAGTGCTGAGGTAGCATCGTGGAAACTCTCCACCCAGAGAGGTAGACAAAGTCATCAGAGCCCTGGCCACTGCCTCCTGCTCCGTACTCCCAGTCTCATTGCTTCGTCATGCGTGTTGACAAGGGGGTTCATCTTGAACATGGAGGGAACTTTCTGCAGATGACTTCATCTCCTGCATGCCCTGCACCCTAACTCTTTGGGGACAGATTACATCTCCTAGCATTTCTTTGAATGGCAATGTGCTTGTGACACTACCGCCACCCCCCACCCCTTGTTAAAAGAAGCTCTGTTTGGGTGGGGCTGAGGGGCTGCATTCCCAGCAGGTTCCTTGGTGGTTCTCGGTGCTTCTGGCCCGAGGACTGCAGTTTGAGAAGCAGAGCCCTGGACTGGAGCGGGGGTGGGGGTCGTGTCTCTCCATCCTCCGCTGAACGTTAGAACCACCTAGAATACTGATGCATTTATGTTCGTTATCTCCATTACAGCGCAGACCCGTGAAGGTGTAGCTCACTTTGTGCCCTCATACCTGGCTCTCATAATGCCCATGTCCCTCTCCCCTGCTCTCCCCAGGCATAAGTGCTGCACACCTCCAGGATGGCAGTCCAGTTCCGTTCACTCTTCCCCTTGGCATTGCCCGGAATGCTGGCGCTCCTCGGCTGGTGGTTTTTCTCTCGTAAAAAACAGCAGGTCAGCAGCAGTGAAGAGCAGGCAGAGTCTGGTGCTGTGGCATTAAGGGCTGGCCCCCCCACGAAGGAACTGGTCCCCGTGGAAGAGGCTTGTCACACAGTCGTGTCTACACTCCCGACGGTCACACAGCCACCAGGAAAGGACGAGCCCACTGCAGGCAAGCCTTCCATGGAGCCCTCAGCCTTGCTGCGGACCCACCTGCCCCATCGCAGGGCAGAGTCCTCAGGCAGCCTGCCTGACACCACTGAGGCGAGGTCCCGTGCAGGAACGTCCAAAGAAAACAGCGCAAAGACGGAACTGGCCGTGATGGGTGACGAGGCCAAATCTGCCCCTCTGGGGTGTCCCCTTGCGTTCCCCCATGAAGCAGTGCAGGTGTGTAAGTGGGAGCCCACACGTGGTGGAATGCCTGCCACAGAGAAGCGCGACCCTGGGGAGAAAGCACGAGATGGGGAGACGGGTGGGGCCGAGGGGACCAGCAGTGCAGTGCTGGGGGAAGACATGCTGGAGGAGGGTCTGCTGCCCCAGGAGCACGTCTTAGACCCGGAGAACGACAAGCCCTGCAGCCCGGCCCGCTCAGGAGGCAGGGAAGAGAAAGGGAGCGGTGGCCTGTCCCTGGTGGTCGGGGCAGTTGGGGCCCTGCCGAAAGGAGAGTGTGCAGTCAGGAAGCTGCTAAGTGGCGGTGTGGAGCCGGCTCCTACAGAGCTGGCAAGGGAGGAGGAGACACCAGCACCCCAGGTCACAGATGGCAAAGCCAGGGATAGAGGCCTGGTGGAGCTGGGCAGAGAGGACGCCTTGGATGTCAATAAGAAGATTGAACAGGCTGCCTTCCAGATCATCTCCCAGGTGATCTTAGAAGCCACTGAAGAGGTCCTGGCCACCACTGTGGGCAAGCCTGCGGGGCTGGTGGATCAGGCCACGGCCAGTCAGCCGCAGGGGCAGCAAGAGGAGGAGAACTGTGCCCCGGTCAGCCAGGAAACTGTCCCGGGGCAAGATGATGTGGACCCCACTCCAGCCACAGCAGGGCAAGCCGCTAGCCCACTGAACACTGCCCTCCCCTCTCCAGGGCCGCTGGCAGAAGACCTGCCGCCACCAAAGACCTACGTGAGCTGCCTGAGCAGCCCCCTGTCCAGCCCCACCAAGGACAGGAAGCCAAAGAACTCCGCACACCCGATCTCTCTTGCCCCCTGCCCACCACCGGACGCCCACCTCGGAGATCCACTGGACGAGGCCAGCACCCTGGTAGAAGATGCCACCTGTGTCACCTGCATGTCGTCAGACAGCCAGAGTGTCCCTTCAGTGGCCTCCTCGGGGCGGTGCTCAGATTCCGTCAGCACATCAGGGTTCGAAGACTGTTGCACAGAGACCAACTCAAGCCCCAGGGACAAGGTCATCACCCCACCGCTGCCAGACAGTACTGAGCCCTTCAGCAATGGGGTGCTGAAGGGGGAATTGTCAGACGTGGGGACTGAGGATGGATGGAGCGTGGATGCGGAAGCTGATCACTCAGGAGGTAGGAGGGTCTAGGCAGTGACTTGTAGGAATGGGGCGGGCCACCTGAATTTGTTAGGGGAAGGCTGCTGGTCTGCAGAGTGGGTGGGTACTGAGAAGTTAGGCGGCCTTGTGACCCTGTAGCCACCGGAGCTGTTACTTGCTGTGCCAGCCAGGGAGCCTCCCTAGCCCTTCAGAAGAAGTCAGCTCAGTGTGGGGACCACCACTTACCTTAGTGTGCTTTTCTGTTTGGAAAACAGACCCCTTATGGAGTTTTTAACACAGGCCTCCTTAGCGTACTCCCGCGTGACAGGTACAGGTGCATGTTTCTCAGTGGCTGATTCCTTTTAATCATGTGCTTGTTCCATGTCTTCACCTGCTGTCCTGCAGAAGCTCTTACAGGGTAAGTGCCCCAGGAACGCCACAGCTTTGAGTACTCGGGGGAGGCTCGAAGCTTTCCGTTGTTGCTCTCACCTCCTCTGCTGAGCCTCAGCCATTGTTTTTTTCTGTGCAGCTGCAGTTCCACCCCAGGGAAGAGGGACACTTTGGTAATGAAGTGTCCACTGGGTTTTTCGATTGCTGGCCCCAGCGTAGACAGTTCAGACCGCTAACTTACAGGTCAGCAGCTCCTGACCCTGCTTTTGCAACTCCCCTGGGGTATTTCCAGTCATTTCACAGAGGATGCTACAACTCCTGAGAGGCAGTCTGACTTGTTTGTCCCGAAGGCATTCCCTACCATTTCCACTCCACGCTGGAAGTTTGGGGATCTTTCTTGGGTGTTTTACCACTTTGAGCTGCATCTGGTGTGTACCATGCCCTGCCTGTGGTCAGGCCAGGATGCAATTAAGACTGCTATTGTTTATGTAGCTGTAGAAGAAAAAAAAAAAAAAATGCTGCCAGTCATTAGTTCTGGAAGGCCAGGTACCACAAAATACACCTTAGCCAGGGATTTAGCTCACTGGTGCTGCCTCCTGCTTCACAGGTACAAGGTCCTGAGTTCGATCTCCGGTATCAGGAAAAAAAATGATACACTTTAATGTGAGGATATAAAATCTTTTTAAAATTACATCTTAAAAGAAGGTGAGAAGAAAGATTTTTTTTCCATTATCAGCTGAATAAATGAGTCCTTCAGTTTTGTGAGTTCCAACTCTATATTGATTGCAGTCGCCACCGAGATGTGCTAAGGGCTTCAGAGCTTGGCTCTGCAGTAGAAGAGGCTGTAACTGAGCCTCAGGGTAACCGAGGGCCCAGGGCTCAAGAAAGGCCCGTTACTGCAGGCCTCGTGGTGCCAAGCTCCCAATTCAGTGCTCTCAAGTCGCCCTGCTTTGTGGGGAAGATGTTCAAGTTGGGGGTGCGGGAACTGCCAGGCTCGGGGCTGGAAGCTGGCCTTTGAATACAGGCTGCTGAAGGCCTTGTGGTTCTGAGCCACCCTTGGATGCCACTGGGTGTAGTCATTGGCCACTGCCCTTTGTTGGACATGAGCAATGCCCTCGTCAGCCTTTTTGGCTTTTAACAGGCTAGCAAATGAAGCACACACAGTCTCAGAAAGGGTGGTTTCCCCACAAGAAGCCTGTTCTGAGCCCCTAGTGTTGAGGGCAGAGGTCATTGTGAAGGTGACGCCCTACCAGAGCAGAATCTCTTTAAACCTGAGTCCTTCATATCCAGACAGCCTATGGATGTAAAAGATTATGCTCACCTTTGGAGAAACCACGTAGCAATTAACTTAGTAGACTCTCGGTGTGATGTGTCTCTGGCGATTGTTGTCCATATTTAAGCCTGAAGCACTTGGGAGCGGCATTGGACCCACTTTTCTATGATGGCCCCTTTGGCACACCCTTAGACAGCACACAGCTCACGCTGGTGTCACGGTCCCACTTCCACGCTCCCCTTGACAATGAGCTTTAGCTCAGTGTTTGGAGCTCCAAAGGGTATTCAGAGTTGCCCATTGGGCCTAAGCAGAAGCAAGAAAATCCACCTTCTTTGTTCTCATGTGGCAGAGAGGCGAGTGGGCTGTGACAGGGATGAGAACAGGGCCCTTAGGAAAGCTGCGAGGGGATTGTCTTGCTCTTCTTGGCTGAAGGCCACTGCCTGGGAGCCAAGGTCCGGGGACTTGGGGACAGGAGATCCTTGGTCTGAGACTGAGACAGTAGGAAGGGTGGTGAGATGGTTGGGACAAGACTGAGGGTCAGCTCCCCGGACCACGTGGACTTGTGGGCCGTCCCCTCCCCTCCCCAGCATAGAGTCCACCCCTTTCTAGTTCACCACTTGTGTTTGTTACAGCAGCTGTGGCCAGGCCCGGCTGCCAAATGGGCAAGTGGGCCTGTGGAGGGCTAAAATTAGGTGTATCGATCCCCAGGCCTCCTTCCATCGGGGCTTTCCTGAGCCTCTAGACTGAGCTGACAGTCGTACCTGCCGAGCTGAGGGGTGGGGGTGCTCGGGATGAGAACCTGGCCGCTTGGATCCTGCCGCCATCGCTGAGCCGGATCTGCGTGTGTGCACCACCTCCTCTCAGGTTCCGACGGGAACAGCATGGACTCAGAGAGCTGCTGTGGTGGCAGGAAGACTGACAACCTCCAGAGCGCCCAGGCCGGTTCCAACCCCAAGAAGGTCGACCTCATCATCTGGGAAATCGAGGTGCCGAAGGTAGGGCACCCACAGGGCCCTCTGGCTTAGTGGGGGTGGGACAGGACCAGGAGGCCAGTGGACCAGAAAGGCCCTGTGCGAGCCCACACCGCAGGGAAGGGAGTGCTTGGCTTCTCCGAGGCTCGGGCCACTGCAGGTGGGATCCCTTCCATCCAGGCCATCTCGGCTCCGTGTGCTGGGCACACGCTAGCAAAACTGGACAGGGTAGCCAGGCCCCTTCCTGTGCCCTGCCCTGTGTGACGTGTATTTCAGCACCGAGCAGACCATAAGCCCATGTGTAGAGGGCTCAAAAGTACAAAGACGTGGAAGAAAATAACCTGCTCTGATCTTACCCCTGAGGGTGACTGTAAAGACTTATTTCTTCCTCATCTCGTACCCTATGGTTTTTAAATAAACTTAGATTGTGTTGCTTTAATTAATACTTTTAAATATTTAACAATGTGATTTTCCAGCAATATTCTTTGAAAATGCAATTTTAACTGCATTATTCATCGTGTGAATGTCAGTTTGCCTCACCAGTCCCAGTTCCTCGGTGCTTGCTCGGTTTCCAGCCTCTTGCTGTTAGAACTTATTATCCCCATCTTGGTGCTCATCCGTGGGGCTCAGATGTAATTGGCGGCAGGCTGCTTTCTTGGGGCGCTGGGCGTGGTGCTGAGGTGGAGCCCCAGCTGGGTCCGAATTGTGGGTCCAGAGGGCTGTGGTAGCCCACAGCCACGGGCTCCTGCAGTGTCTCCTTCCCGGTGACCTCATTAGCAGCCCGCCTGACCTCCGTGGTGATGGGGCACGGCCAGCCAGGCTCTGGGTGAGGAGGGATGAGGCCCCTCGCAGCCCTGCTGGCTGGGGTCACTGTTTCGGGCTCATCTGCATTATGGCTGAGTTCTGTCTGCCTTGAGCTCTGGCTCGCTGGGCGCTTATGTGTGCCTCATGCGTTGACCTTTGGCAACGGGAACCCAAAGCTTCTTAGGCTTTAATTTCCAGTGTTTTGTTTTGTAGACAGGGTATCACGATGTAGTCAGTCTGGTTTTGAACTCACTATGTAGCCCATGGTAGGCTTGACACACAGCATTCCTCCTGCCTCGGCCTCCTGAATGCTGAGACCACAGGTCTGCGCCACCACACATGGCTTGGCCTTCATTTTTAAACTGAGCCCTTTTCCTGGGGCTTGAGTAGACTTGGGGCCACAGGTGTGTGAGGATTCACAGTCAGCCCTTGTGCTGGGCTGCTTGCTGTGTGTGTATGGTGGAGGGGACCCTGCCTTTACTTTCTGGGTCTCAGCCACATCCCTGAGATGAAATGGGAGCCACTGCCTCATTCAGCTGGTTATAGCTGTATGATCTTGAGTGGGTTCCTTAGCTTCTCTTGACTTGTTTCTTCATCTGTGAAACAGTGATAAAATTATTTCTTTCTGAACATGATGGTGGCACTTGCCTATAATCCCAGTACTTGGGAGGCTGAGGCAGGAAGATTGCAAGTTTGAGGCCACCCTGGGCTACAAAGGGAGACCCTGTCTCTAAAAGAAAAAAAATAAATAGCTTACCTGTTTCACAGGTACTATGGTAAATTTAAGTACTTAGAACAGCACTGGCCAATAAATGCTAATACAGTAAGAGTTAGTATGACTTTGTGTTCAACAAAAGCAGGTCTTCTGGACATAGTGGGTTAGTGTCCTATTAACTCCCTCATCTCTCTCCCTCTCCCTGGAAGCACTTAGTTGGCCGGCTAATTGGCAAGCAGGGGCGCTATGTGAGTTTCCTGAAGCAGACCTCTGGTGCCAAGATCTACATCTCAACCCTGCCTTACACCCAGAATATTCAGATCTGCCATATAGAAGGTCAGTGGCAGCTGCTACCTGTGTTCTAGTGTTCTTACCTGAAATGCAAGTGAAGGGAAGCATTTGAGCCCTATTTGCTATCCTTTTGGAGTCTATCCCTGAGCGGGAACTGCTCCTCATCCCAGGCAGCAGGAGGATCGGAAAGGGGACTTGGGTCCCACCCCACCAGATCTCTGGCCAGAAGACTCCTGGGATGGTCAGGGCCCGGGTCCTGGGTGGGTGGTGCCTGGCACCCCACATGAGCTCCCTCGTAGAAGACAGGCTCTCTGTTAAAGGAGACTGGGCCTTTTCCGCTCTGCCAGCTGCCTCTCGGTTCAGAGCACAAATCAGAATGGCAGCAGTATCGCTTAAAAGGCAAATGGCTTTCCATGACTTTCTTGACCAAGCAAAGCTTAGCATTTTGTACCTTAGAGATGCCATTGAACTTTAGGAGGAGTCCTGTGGGGTAGCAGGTTTGGGGGAGTTTGTTTGACTTTACCCTTCCCTCTGGGATTTTGTATCCTGTCTAGGTTCTCAACATCACGTAGACAAAGCTCTGAACTTGATTGGGAAGAAGTTTAAGGAACTGAACCTCACCAATATCTACGCTCCCCCGTTACCTTCATTGGCACTGCCTTCTCTACCTATGACATCCTGGGTAGGTGCTCTCCCCCAGACGTACCCCAAATGAGAACCTCCTCCCACTCTGAGCCTAGAAGGCCACAAGCACATTGTGGCCTGCGCCCTCTCACTTTGGGCCTCCACTGCTAGCTACATCCTGCATCTCTGGGGACTGGGTGAGGTGTTAGCCTCTGGGACCTGCATGGGAGGCCAGCGCTGTCCTAGCTCTGCCACTGGACAGTCATGTTTTGTGTTTTCTAGGTGTTTGCCTCCAGATGATTTCCAGGTGACTCTGGACATGGCAGCTTTTAAGAAGCCCTGTGTGGGTCGTAACCCAGAGGCCTGGGAGGCTTGGGATGGGCCATGCAGTTCCTCACTTGTAGCTGAGTTGGATCAGGGAAGGTTTCCCTTCCCTTCACTCTCCCAAGAACTGCCTGAATTGTTCTCCCCTAGGAAGCCCTGGCTGTTGGCAGGAGGGGAGCTGCCATCTCCAGGGCCCTTGAGCTCCTCATTCTTACTCCGCAGGGTTCGCCTCTGGCCTCATTGTGCCTCTCCTCACCAGTAGACACACAGAGTTCTGTGGGCCAAAGACTTGGCTGTGCTTCACACACATGGGCTGCACGTGTGCTCTGTGAAGATGGCTCCCTCGGGTTTTGTCTGGGATGGTGACATTGCAGTTGTCTGTCCTCCCTAGTGACCCTGGGCTGAGAGGGGAGGAGGGGATGTTCCCCTCCTGTGAGTATTGGGAGTGGGCTGAACTGCACTCCACACTTTACTTATAAATTATTTTTTCTGAGGAGGCTTGACCATAGGCTGTCAGTGTCTCTGTCTCTCTCTCTCTCCTGGGGGACAAACTTCTTAAACAATGAGGTGGTTTGTATGATTTCCTCCCATTGTATTCTGCTTGGCCCTGTGGGACTGGGGCGGATCTTCCAATGCTTCTGGCCAGCAGGGCTAGGGTAGTCACCGAGAGGCCAGGGTTCCTGGCCAGAGGAAGCTCTTCTTCCTGGGGCCACTAGGCTCAGAGTTGGAGGAGACACAGTCCAGAAACCCTACTTTGCTGCCTGTCACTAGGCACCAGGAAAACCAGTGCCTGGGGACAAGCCATGTAGAGACATACTGGCACAACTACAGGCCAAAGCCCAAAGTGAGAATGAATTAGGAAATCTGTAGAGGGAGGAGAAGAGCAGGACCTGAGGGAGAAGAACAAACAGGATGCAGATTCTGGTAGACCTTGGTGGTGGGCCTGACTGCAGACTGCTGCTCACTGCTGAGAAGGCAGAGCAGACACTGGCAATCTGTAGCTGGTGTGAGCCAGCAGCAGGTCCAGGAGTTGGCTGGCAGGCTTGTGGGCTGCCCACCCTCTTTCTTGGGCACTTGGTTCTTAGCATCCACTTGTCCCGTGTTTGTTTCCAGGGTCTTGTGGCCTTATCAGAAGAAATGAGAAGGGGAGGGAAAGCCCCCAAGGGATACACCCTGCTTGCATCCGGCATCCTGGCTACCCAGGCTCTCTAGTCACCCTGCCCCAAGACAAGGCTGCCTCTACTGGCTGCTCTTGGTACTGCAGTGCAACAGCCACATCGGCTGAAGTTGAACCTCTGCCATTGGGTGCCCCCTTGTTTTAGGTGGCTGTGCCCCTTTCAGAGATGTACCAGTTCAGAGACTGCACTGGGGCATGTGGCCCTAGCTCAAACAGGAGAAGGATCAATGCATTATCCACTGCCTCTTCCCTCTACAGCTCATGCTGCCTGATGGCATCACAGTGGAGGTGATCGTGGTCAACCAGGTCAACGCCGGCCACCTGTTCGTGCAGCAGCACACACACCCTACCTTCCATGCACTGCGCAGCCTGGACCAGCAGATGTACCTCTGCTACTCTCAGCCTGGCATCCCCACCTTGCCCACCCCGGTGGAGAGTAAGTGCTGCCCCGGGGCTCCTGGCTCTGGCCAGGCTGCGGCTTGTCTGTTCTGTCATTGGTCCTGACTCAGGAGGGAGGGAGCCTTTCTTGGGTCTCTCAGGGGACAGGGATCCCTGAGTTCCTGCCATCGTCATGGAGTCATGCTGGATTATTTCCTGGCTCTTCAGAGCTAGCATTTCTGTTGGCTGGCAGAGCCATGGGATTGTAGTAAGAGATTTGACGTACGGATTCGGATCGCAATCCTGCCACTTTAAGTGGTGTCATACAGCTTAGTCGGAAGCATTTCGGGCATACGCTGGTTATGATAAAGATCCCGAGCCCAGCAAACCCACACATTGAGTTGCCATCTCCATGTGACTGGTGAGGAAACCGCCTCTGAAATGGGTTTGCTGTGGAATCACTGAGCAGGAGCTGGGATCTAAACTGACCTTGGTCACTTTTACCTTTGTTGCTTTGATCCATATCAAGAACACCCCATCCATTTGGGGGTTTTTTGTTGTTGTTTTTCTTTTGGAAGAATAAGGATATAGTTTTCATCATATTCTCTAACCCATTAGTTGAAGATTGAGCAGAGTCCAGAGGTGGACGCACCAGGGCTCCCTTTAAGGGTTGGCATTCAGTGTAGTCAGCCCCTGTCTCCACCCCAGCTGGCCTGGGGTTTCGCCCTTCCCCACTTCCCCGGGGTGGGACTTGATGACCCTCTGGAACACAGCCTTGCTGGCTGCCCAGGTGCTCTCTGCTCCTCCTAAGGCGAAGGCTGGATGATGGGGGTAGAAGGGACTGGACAGGGGATGCCCCCAGCCATGCTCTTGATTAGTTGTGGGCTGGAGCGGACCCTGGGTACCAGTGCCTGGCTCTGGGCTCAGTGTGTCCACACTCCTCTCCCGCCTGCAGTAACAGTCATCTGTGCCGCCCCTGGTGTGGACGGAGCCTGGTGGCGAGCCCAGGTGGTGGCCTCCTATGAGGAGACCAATGAGGTGGAGATTCGCTACGTGGACTACGGCGGATATAAGAGGGTGAAAGTGGATGTGCTCCGGCAGATCAGGTGAGTGGAGGCTCGGAGACAGGCCCACGCCCTGCTTGGTGTGTGGTGGCATGTGGCTCAGTTCTCCCAGCCTCAGACGAAGTACTACTTCCCTCTGTTGCCTTGTGTGTTAGTGGGGTGTGAGCTGAACAAACCCGATGACTCCCAGCCACCCTGAGCCTAGTGTTAGGCATTAGCAGCGGGGCTGCTTTCTGGGTTGATGCAGGAATCTGAGGTCAGGCTTGCAGCAGGGCTGCCTGCCTGCATTCAGCTGGGCTGTATCGCCCTGGGCTGTGGGTGTAACTGTGCTAATAAGCAAAAGGTAAATCCAAATGTCAGCCTTTAAGTCCATGTTAAGCTTGTCCCCTCCTGCTTTTCCAGGTCTGACTTTGTGACCCTGCCATTCCAGGGAGCAGAAGTCCTTCTGGACAGCGTGATGCCCCTGTCAGGTAACAGGTGGGGGGCCTCTGCTGGGGGTGGCAGTTATTGCATGTAGGTCTGTGTTCTGCACCCAGGGCTGCTGCCACTGTCATCAGAGTTTCTGGTTGAATAGGCCTGGGCCATGGCCCGAGAACTTGCATAGCCAGCAAGTTCCCAGGCAGTAGCAGGGCTGCTGTGCTGAGGGCCGTCTCTGGGGTCCACCACTCTAGCCATTTTCAGACAGCCTGCATGGCGAGCCTTCCAGCTCGGCACCTGCCGGAACATGGTCCCGGCCTGGAGAGGGCAGTTTGACATGGGGCCAGCAGCTAAGTGGAGTCAGCACTCTTTAGGGGCACCATGGGAACTCAGAAAGCATTTCCAGGGGGAAACAGGGATGGTGCTAGTCTTTCAGAGTGGCTGTGAGAATTACATAAACCCAGGAAGTAGTGGCGAAGGTGCTGAAATAGCATCTGCTGAATTCTGCAGGAATTGCTCATCCCATCCCTGTCCCTCCGCAGCGTGGCCCTTTTGGATCTGGTTCTTGCTTGCCTAAAGCAAACTCCTTAAAAAACACAGAGTCCTGGCAGACAAAACACTGGGAAACGTGTTTGTTTTGTTTTCCTTCCTTGCTCTTGCCCCACTCTTTTCTGTTTCCGTTCAGCCAAACAATCTATCTAGACCCACTTCTCTCCTTTTCTCGTTGCTGAGACAAAATACCTGACACCCAAAAGGAGGGAAGGTTTATTTGGCTCACATTCTGTAGAGCTTTCAGTTCATGGCTGGCTGGCTCCGTGGCAGGGCGGGCATGGCAGAGGGGCATCGGAGAAGAGGAACAGTTCATTGCACACAGATGGCAGCAAGTGACAAGCAGCAAGCAGTATCCCTCTTGCTGTCCCTTGTATCTTATCCAGGCTCTCTACCCTTAGGGTGGGTAGCACTCACACCCAGGGAGGGGCAGCTCTAATCCTCGCATTGCGCCACAGTCATCCTGTGCTTAATCCCAGCAGCACATAACCTAGATCCGGCTACCTCTGTAAAGCCCCACCTACGACTTCATGAGGCTTTGGGGGACATCTAGACACAAGCCACGACACCGCTGAAGTGCCGCCTCCTTCTGAGACTTCCCCACGCCTTCAGACACATCTGCCTCCCATCTTTACCCTTCCTTTGATCCAGCAGAGCAAGCTGCTGCCTCATACCCCACCCAGGCCCCTACTGCCTGGATTGGAATTCTCCCTGCTCCTCTCTGTGCATTGGGCATCGGCCTTCACCTCAATGTTAGCACCTGCTTTGTAGGGTGTTGCTGATCATGGGGCTGAGTAGACACATGCCCCGCACGGTTGGCACCCGGATAAGTGGGGTGGCATTGCCGTTGAAGGCAGCGTGTCTTTCCTTTGTCTCCTGTCCTGAGGGGTTAGCATGCATGAGGGACCCTGTGTTTATCCACCTGAGTCACGTGGAGGCCTGGCTCTGCCCAAGTGCAGGTCTCAGCAGCCTCTGGAGCGTCCTGCTTGGGATGTGCTGACAAGTTGTGTAGGTGAAAAGAATGCTTTGCTTTGGTCAGCATCTAAATGCCACTTTCCCTCTTCCCTGTAAAGATGATGACCACTTTTCACCGGAAGCAGACGCAGCTATGAGTGAGATGACAGGAAATACAGCTCTGCTCGCCCAGGTGTGTGGTGGGGGTAGCAGATGGGGCGGGCAGGGAAGGGAAGGGAGCCTCCTGCCTCACTCAGTGAAGTGTCCAGGCTTCTTGGGACCTGACCTTGAAGTTCTGCCCTCTTTCTTCCCTCCCATATGGGCCTCAGGGTGGCCAGCAGGCTTAAAAGATGTAGCAGGAGTAGCTTTATAGCATGTTTTCCCTCCCTGCAGGTGACGAGTTACAGTCCGACCGGCCTCCCTCTGATTCAGCTGTGGAGTGTGGTTGGCGATGAGGTGAGTTCTGGCTCCAGTGCATCAGAGTTGCCCGCCGGCAGTCCAGGGTTGCCTGGGAACTGGTCTGACACTGCTTCCTCCTGACTAGTCAGGAAATAACTAGAATCCAGCACCACCCAGGGGACACTTTGGGTGTCACGCCTGGGGATGGTCACGTCAGTGTCATCTAGTCATCGGGCCCAGGAGTGCTGCTAAGCACCCTGAAGTACCAAGACAGCCCCTCTCAACGTGCAGTGATCCAGCCCAAAGTGCCATTAGTGCTCTAGACCTTCTGAAGTCTTCTGGCTGCTGGGTTTTCCTGTCCTCCTCATATCAAAGCTTAGGTTTCTGTCAGCATACTGAGAAGCCTGTCTCCATGCCACGAGGGCAGCAACATTTGTGTAAAAGCCCCCGTTGGAGTCAGGCCCCACATGTACGCCTGCTCCTGGCTGGAGTCTGGAGACTGGAGGAGAACCCTTGATGGCTTGAGGGGTGGCCCCGAGGTGCCGCATGCGGAGCTCTCAAGGTGACTTTGTTTTCCAGGTGGTGTTGATAAACCGGTTGCTGGTGGAGCGAGGCCTTGCACAGTGGGTGGACAGCTACTATGCGAGCCTCTGACCCTGGCCCGGGGCTACTGCTTGAGTCTTTTTTTGCACTGTTGAGACTGGGCTTGGCACTCAAGGCAAAGCTACAACCTGAGAGTAACCGGTGTCATCCTCTTGAGTCCGCTCTTCCCCATCTGTAGTACCATGGAGAACATGATTCCTTTCTGAAGAAAAGGGACTCAACTGTGGTTCTTTCCAAAGCCATACGAGCCAACTGGCTTAACCGTGCTCTGAGTTTCTCCCAGGTTATCCTAATCCCCTCCACTCCCCACCTCTTCCGTCCACCCTCTCCCCCGCCAGCACGCTGCAGGCTGCAGCAGGCAAGCCGAGGTGTGTGGCCCGCCTGAGGGAGTTTCTTTTACTTCAGTCTTTCTTCAGGGAGCAGCCATGAACTGACTAATTGGTATCGATTCCCTATACGGCTCACCTACATGATCTGATGCATTCAAGCGGTTTTTATGCCCTTCCTCTGAGTCTCTGGGAACCCAGACTCTTTTTAATGCAGATGTAAATATGAAGTGATTGTCATACCTCTGGCCCCAGTCAGTGGGGAAGGGAACAGTGATCTTGCCAAGCCTGGTTGTAATTTATAACCATTTTCTACTTGTGCAAACTGTAAATATATGTTTAAAAATGTAATATTTTGTACAAGATACACTGGAGAACAAAGGGAACTCAAGGTTTTTCCATGCACTTCACCTGCAAGAAGTGAGTCCTGTCATGCACACCTGCCCACCCTGGCTCCTCCTGCCCGGGAAGGAGCTTCCTGTGCACCCGACAGGGAAACCAGACGGGACAAGCGTCATCTGGGGAGTCTTTGCTGTACACATTTGTTAAAAAAAAAAAAAAAAAGTAACTCATTGAATTAACTTGGAATGGTGTGTTTGATTCTTTTTTTAGACTGGCTCCAGCATTGTGCAATTTAGGAATAAGTAATTTAAGTAACTTGAACTTATATAAATCTTGACTCTCATAAACTCTAGCTTTGAGTCCACTTTTTTCCCCCAGTGGTGAGAAAGGTTGGACGGAGGTGGGAGTGAAGAGGGTGGGGTGTAGACTGGAGGGTCCCACCGTGTGCCTCAGGACTACAACTAAAGGAGACCCCCATCCTTTGAAGATGTTTTGACCCTGACTTTCTTCCTGGCCTCACCCCATCTCTGTAGCCTACCAAGTGTGGCATCTCCCCCTGGCTTTAATAGCCTGACCTCAGGCTGAATGCGTGCAGTCTTTGGTCGTACAGTAACAGGCCTGTGAGGTCCTTGGTCTGCTGCAGTGGAACCTTACCGAATGCGTGCATTCAGGTGCCAGGGGCAGACACTGAGCGGTGAGCAAATGGCCCCTGCACTCAGCCCCTCCCCCTGCCTTGGGCCCTGCCCTCCCCCAGTGGTGATGCGTCAGCCCCACACTCTGAGGCTGTCCGAAGGTCCACACGCGGAAGGGGCGTCCTGTGGGATCTCTCGGTGTCAAGTACCCCACACACCCCACGGGTGTCTCCAGTCTGCACCCCGCAAGACCAGGGCCCCTGGTTCTCATTCTTAGCTGGGCTTGTCACTGCTGAGGTGACCTGTCTTCCCTCAGGTTCTGCTTATTACTGGTGTGGTTAAGAAGAGGATCATCTGTAAGACCACAGAGTAGTTCCGATGCATTAAAGCAGTTAAGTCAGAAATGTCCCATGTACAAGGAGCTGGGTGCCGGGGAGCTCTCCCTCCTGCAGTCTTAGCTGCTGCCAGGCCTTCCCTAGCAGTGGTCGGGTGTGACTGACAAGCTGTCACGCTGCCACAGTTTTTAGGGTAGTGGCTACTAGCGAGACCTGGCGTGCAGATTGGCCTTTATCTTGGCGGCAGTTTGGGGGTCCCGAGACGGAAGCCTGAGCAGTCCTGAGAGGAGGTCTCGGGGGTGGCTGTGTGAAGCATGGCTTGGAATCGTGGAGGATGGTGAGGAACAAGTGCTTCTCAAGTTGTGGGCCTTGATTAGTTCTGCGGTGTGCAGATCCGGCAAGTACAATTAGACACCATTTTTGAATTACCTGCAGGCTCCCACAGTTTGTGTCAGTTGGAAACACAGGGAAGAAGGCCATGCTGGAAAGGTTTGGTATCTCTTCCTGTGGCCAAGAGATGGGAGGCTGGAGGTGGGAGGTCAGAGCTGCTGTCACTGCAGGTGTGTGTGTCCTCTGTCCTGGGGAGAGCAGGAGGAGGAGCTGGTCCTCGTGGAGGCTCGGCTCTGGGCTCCCTGTCCTGCCCTTGTACAACCTTGGTTATGCCACAAGTAGGATCAGTCTGTCAGAGAACTGAAGTCATTTCTCACCATCACGGGCTGTTACAGCTTGTGTCTAGATGCCCCCCCAAAGCTGCCTGCAGTCACAGGTGGGGCTTTTTCAGAGGTGGGTGGATCTAGAACGTATGGTTACTGAATCACAAATTGATTTGGCGCTGCTCTAATCCCAGGTAGCCTAGATAGAATATAGGAGTTGCAGAGAAGCTGCTGAGGTCCTTTGCGTGCTCTTGCCTCCCTGCTTGTCGTAGACTATTTCTCCTCCGCACTGCCCCTCTGCCATGCCACCCTTGTCTTGGAAACAGCCAACTACGGGCTGAAACCTCTGCGAACTAACTGTAAGCCAAACAAACCTTTCCTCTAATGTTGGGTGTCAAGTATTTTGTCTCGGGCTTAAGAGAAAACAAGGTTAGTCCCTGGAGTTGGGCTGCGCTCACAGACAAGTAATAAACGTCCTCAGGGCCACACGGATAGGGACCCCTTCCTAGGTGAGCAGGCTGACCCCGGAGATGGTGGGTGGCGGTGCAAGCAGGTCTGCAGTGGGAGCAGGGCTGGGACTCCAAGCCAGGCTGGCTTCCTGGCACTGCCTTTCCCACCACCCCTCTGATGCAGCGTGGATTCACCTCGCTGTGTCCGGTCCCCCTGGTGGGTCAGCTGTTCTGAAGTGTTTCAGAACTTAGTGGAAGGAAACATCGTGACGAGAGAGCCGGTGGTTTTGCTGATGAGAGAGGTTAAAATGTAAGTAACATGAAAGTAAAGCCAGGGGAAGCTTGTAGCTTCTGGGCAAAAGGGCAAATGCTTTTAATCTGAAAACTGTCTTCCCTGCAAATATCATAAAGGCGATGGACAGAAAAGAAAACCTGGATCAGTTTCTAGACAAGTCCAATGGATGCAATGGCAGCCATGTACATGGTTTTAAAGTAACCAGAGTGAGGACCACAGTAAAAAATAGCACAAAGGCGACTGGGGGTGCAACTCGGTGGTAAAGCACTTGCCCAGCACATGTGAAGCCCTGGCTTCCATCCCCAGCACCACCAAGGAGGAGACGTGGGCTGGAAATCTCAGTAACAATGTACCCAACTCATCCTTTCAACATGGTGGACATAATGAGTTTGCAGTACTCTTTATGGGTTTCTTTTTCATGTTTTGAAATCAAATGTGTTTGCTTCACGATGCCAGCATCTCTGTTTAAACTATTAACATTTCAGGGGCTCTGTGGCCACCGTTGAATTGTGACCACCAGCCCAAGTTGGACTGTTCATCAGTCTCCCGTAGCAACGTTAACAGCCACATATATATATTTCTTTCCTTACTCGAAAAACTTTTAAGTCTTTTTGCAAATTTATTTTATTTTGGGGGGAGGTTTGGAGATAGAGTCTTGTTGTATAGTTCATGCTGGCCTTGAACTCATGGTGATCCTCTGGCTACCATGCCCAGCTCTATTCCATTATTTTCTTTAAGCCCTTTTTCCCCCTCTTCCTCCTGCTCCTCCCAACTCTCTCCCTCCCTCCTCCCTCCTCCCTCCTCCCTCCTCTACCTCCTCCTCTCCATTTTTTTGGAGGCAGAATCTGCTGTTCCAGGACCTCTGCTGTTCAAAACTTCTAGGCACAAGGATCCTCCTGCCTCATCCTCCCAAGTAGCTGAGACTACAGGCACATACCGGCACGCCTGTTTGCATATTTGTTTTTCTAGATGAACATCAGATTCATTTTTGGGGGGAAGGAACAATGGTAGATGTTTTACCAACATTTGAAAATGCAGAAATGGATAGAATAAGGCAGGTATAGAGTTTTGTATAATCTATTGTTTATTTTATTTCACTTTTGGTTTTTTGACACACGGTCTCACTATGTAGTTGAGACTGACCTGGAACTCAGTGTGTAGCCCAGGCTGGTCTCGAACTCATAGTGATCCTCCTGCCTCAGCCTCCCAAGTGCTGGGATTACAGGTGTTCGCCACCACGCCTGGCTATAATCTGGCTATAATCAATCTATTGTAAGAAAATCATCTAAACTACTTGGGTCTTCTGGTTTTTCTTTGTAGCCACTCTTCCCCACCCTACTTTGGTCTGTACTGCCTGCCTATTTCTAAGAAAAGGACATCGAATGATTCTGCTATGGTCTTAACAGATACTTTTACAAGTTTTAGTTATGTCCCTTAGTAAAAAGCTTCATGAGTGGAATTTTCACATTGCTGTAAAATATCTTTGATCCTCGGGTGTGTTTTGTTTTAAAATTGATAACCTTTTTTCTCTGTCACTTCACAGGGGTGTCTTGTAAACAGCACATTGCTGATTGTGTGTGTGTGTGTGTGTGTGTGTGTGAAAGCTCTGGGAATCTCTTAGGTTAATTTAACCTGTTTGTTGTGATCACTGAAGCAGTATTACTTGCCATTTTAGTTCATTTTCCTGTTATATTTGTTTAAGTCTGGCTTTCTTCATCATTTGCTTAATCAAATTTTCCCATAATTTCACATTGAACATCCTTTTTATTGATTTTTTAAATGAGTACATGTTGTACATAATGGTCACATTCTTTGTGGGGAGTTGGTTGGTATACATAACATCTTCATTCTTTTTTTTAATTCCTTTCCCCTCCCCACCTCTGCCCTTCCTCTCTTGGTCCCTTTCCTATGTGCAAAAGATGTATCTCACCATTTTCTATTATCTCTTATTTTGCTCTTTATGTTTTGAGTTTATCATATAACAGAAACCATGTGACATTTAAGCTTGTGTGTCTGATTTCACTTAAACTTATGGTTGCAGGGTGCATTTCCCTGCAAATGGCTTTGTCCTTTATGAAAAGAGTCGGGCTCCATTGTGTATAAATACCACATTTTTTTTATCCATCTGCTGATGGTCACATAGGAGGTCACCAAGATACAGTTACTGTGAACGGTGCTGCTGGAAACATGAGTATGGTGTGTCACTGTAACATGACGTCGTCAGCTCTTTGGGGAGGATACCTAGGAGAGGCATAGCTGGGTCAAATAGAATTCCTTGTTTTTGTTTTATGAGGAATCTCCACACTGATTTCCATTATGGTTGTCCCACCAACAATGTAAAAGGAGTACTTTTCCCCCTCAGCCTAACCAACATTTGTTGTTATGTGATTTCTTGATGATAGCCATTCTCTTTTGAGTAAGGTAGAGTCTCTCTCTCTCTCTCTCTTTCTCGTTTTTTTTTGTTTTTTTTTTTTTTTTTTTTCTTTTTTGGTACCAGGGATTGAACTCTGGTCCTTGCATTTGTAAGGCAGGTGGTGAAACCACTGAGCTAAATCCCTGGCCCGTGGAATCTCAATATTGTTTTAATTTTCATTTCTCTAATGGCCACAAATGTTGAATATTTTTTCATGTATTTTACAGGCCGCTTGTATATCTTCTTGTGTCTCTCCATTTCAGTTGCTTATTTTTTGAATGGGTGTTTTATTTTGAAGACTCCAATTTTTTTAGTCCTTTATGTATTCTAGCTACTAGTCCTCTGTCAAAGGAATAGCTGGCAAGTTTTTTCCCAATCTGTAGGTTGTCTCTTCTATCAGTTGTTTCTTTTGCTGTGCAGAAGCCTTTTAATTTGATATGATCCCATTTTTTGATGCTTGGT